CCCCCCCCCCCCCCCCCCCCCCTCCTGGGGGCCGAGTCTTCTTTCGTGCGCCCGCCGTGTCTCCCACGGACATTCCCGTTACGGCGTCGGGCAGGAGGAGGATGGATAGCAACGTGCAGCAGCAGCAGCAGCCGCCGCCGCCCGTGGCTCCGACAGCGAGGCGAGCAAGACAAGGGCCTTTCTGTGTGCTCTGAGGCAAGCTAGAACCACCCTGCGCTTAACTAGTGCGCACGGACTCGGCCCTGACAAGCGTCGGCGGCTCTGCTCCTCCTGCTCACCTTGGTGGAGTACTCGGTCTTTTGGCGAGTGTAGTTGACAAACTTGGCAACCAAGCTCTGGCTGCTGCCCAGCGTGGTAGAAAAACAGAGGGGCTTCTCTGGACGGGCCGGAGTGGCTTTCAGGATCAAATCATACTGGAAAGTGCCCAGTTCATTGCTGTTGAGAGCCAGACGCCCACTGGTTTCCCCGGGCCTCATTGGTAGGAACTCGAAGACGAGCACTCCCTGGAAAGGCAGGAAATGGATCTGACAAGGGGCCGAGGAGAAGACCGGTGAGCCCAATGTCCGAGGCGCCATCCCACCTGCCTCCGGCACCAGCTCGTGAGGCAGGACAGAGGGGAAGACGTAGGTGGGATGATGGGAAAGGCTCCCCAAAGAGCGACAGGCCGGAGGGGGGGATCACAAAGAGAGCAGGGGCATAAAGGAATGAGGGAGCCGGAGGTGAGCTCAGAATCCAGCTAAGACTAGATCAGAATGGCAGGTATGGCGTCCTCACAGCACACTCAACCACATTCTCTGATAATTTAGCTGGCGGGTTACTTGGCCGTTCAGTGTGTTGTGAAAGCCCATCAAATTGCATTAACTGAACAACTCGCTGCGAGTAGTATGTGAGACTGTAGCGGGAGATGCAAAAAATGTGCACGCCGCTGCCTCTTATTTTCTCCCCCGCAGTGGGTTAAGAAGGGGCCCACCCAGGGGAAAGGGAACCCAGCCGCCTCAGGCTCCCTGAGGGTCAGAGGAACAGGGATGCATTTCTGAGTGTTAGAAGTTAAACAGTTGTAGAAGAAAAAAGCTGAACAAGTAAGGCTGGAGAATGAGAAGAAGCCCGAAGAAGACCCCCAGCTGGCTGCGTGAGGGGCTGTGTGTACAGGGCAGCTGAAGAGCTCAGTGTGGCAGCGGAGGGCAGGAGAGGAAGGCTGTGGCAGCCAAAGGAGCTCAGGGGTTGCAAACTCAGCCCGAGCTGCCACCACCTCCCCTTCCTCCTCTTCTTGAGCCAGTAGGCAAATCTTTGAGAGCTTGTTGCAGGTGCTATCTCAAAAGCATTGCCAGGAAAATAGTCTGTTCACAAAATGGCTCCATAGCTGTAGCCACCATGCATCTATTTACCAGGAGGCAAAACTGATAAGATTATTCCCCACCCCAATCACCATCTCAACTTATCTTTGCCTTTTTTTCTTCTGAGCATGGAGAAATGCTTTCAAATGAGGAAACAGTTGCAATCATGCACCACTTTTGATTTCTAAAAAGACCTGTAAAGTTGACTCCTGGAAGAGAATTCTGCTCATTTTCACCAGGGATTTTAAATAACATGTTTGCATCATAGCTGGTATGACCAAGGGATATCATGTGGACGTGAATTAGTTTGCACACTGGAGTCAATCTAGGCTCTGTATCTTCATTACAGACCAGGGCTGTACAATGCTTTGGCTTCAGTTCCAAAATTGAGAGTGGGCCATCACCACCGAGTCAGTGCTAAATGACGTGGGCGCCAGAGTGGTTAAGTCCAGTTGAGCCAGTGGACAGCAGGGCCCACCCCAGCATGAGGAAGCCTCCATTGAGAGGGGCAAATGACTGAAGCAGCATTGTGCCATCATGACAAAAGCTCTGCCCCTTTGGTACTTGTTGCGTGTTTCTACAAAAGGCACAGAGCTTTTACTGGGATGGCACGATGTTACTTTCATCATTTCAACAAATGCCTTTTTGATCCAGTAGACGCCTCTGTCAGCAATAAAGACAGTTAATAGATAAATGATTAGTAGTGTTTGGCAATGAGGCTGAAAATCTCTAGAATATAACAATTGTAAGTTGAAAGAAAGTAAAAATACTAGAGAGAGAGAAAGTAAGCAGGTAAGTCAGTAGATGAGACAGACTAATATATGGAAATATCAGACTAGAGATAAAAAAAGAAATGTAGAATAGAAGAAAGTTAAGGTAGTCTGTAGAAGCAAGTAACAGCAAAACTGATGAGAGATAAGAAAATAAATGGGGGTCGGTCTTTTGTAATAAAAACACTTTTCCAATGGGAACTGATGGGTCTGAAGCATCCTTGACGCCGTGACAGGAGGATCACCGTGTCCCCGCCAGTTCTAGGACAAGAGGATCTCTGCCCTCTCCAGGTCTGAGGGAGAGCAAAGTAGTCAGCCCCCCTTTCCAGGAGGCTTAGGCCCGCTACAAGAGGGTTGGGTGCCTGGAGAATGGAAAGAGTCTTTGCGGGTCTTGCGAGGAGGAGGAGGAGGAGGAGGAGGAGGAGGAGGAGGAGGAGGATTAGGATTGGAATCAGGCACAAACATGCATGTTCAAGCAAAGGCTGGGCTGTCATGGGTCAGAGGTGCTTTACTCTCATAAGACCCATGGGGCGCACCTTCTCTGTCACTGCCCCTGCCCTGTAGAATAACATTCCCCCGAGATTTGGATGGCCCTTTAGAAGCCCTTGAAGACTTGGTTCTTCCCCCAGGCACCTGGCCAGAAGGTTACGTGAGCTTGCTTTTCATGTGAGTTGTCTCTGGTGCAATGTGTTTTAATGACTTCTGTTATATATATATATATTTTTTTAACCCTTTGCTAGCTGCCCACAGTCACATGGCAGCCATGACAATTGAAACAATAAAAATGAATAATATGAATTCCTGGATGGCATCAATCCTAAAATTTGGTGTCTTCATTCATTCATTCGTTTGTTTGTTCATTGAATAAATTTAAAGAATGCCTGACTCTAAGCAGCTCTAGATGTGACAGGTAATAATCCAGTCATAACAATGAAAAAGATAAATTATATGTGTTCAGAAAAGCCATACAAAATGACGTATCTTACAAGGACTCATGCACTCCCCTGCCTCAAGGCCTGGGAGAGCAATTAGGTTTTCAGCACCTTTCAGAAAGTCATCATGGTGGGAGCCATATAAAGATCTGAGGGGATGGTGTTCCAGAGGCTAGGCGCTGCAACGAAGAAGGTGCACCTCCAAGGACCCAATAGATGACATTTTTAATTGAGGGGACCAAAAGTGTACCCCTCTGCCAGATCCTTCTGGATGGACAGAAACCATGGGAGAGAGGCAGTCCCTCAAGTAACAGGTCCTATTCCAGGAAGGCTTTATTGATAATAACCAGCACTTTGAATTGCACCCAGAAGCCAACCAACAGCCAGGGCAGTTCATGGAGCAGTGCTATCACATGGGCATACTGAAGCATGCCCATTAAAGCCCATGATGCCATATTCTGGGCCAGCTATGGCTTCTGAATGATCTTCAAGGGCAGCCTCATTTAAAGCATGTTGCAATCGTCCGTTCGTGAGGTGACTATGGCATGAGTAATCACCTGAAGGGACTCCTGATCCAGGAATGGGCCCAATTGGCACACTCAACAAATTGTGCAAAAGCCTTGGGCACAGCTGCTACCTACCTCTGAGCAGGAGCTGTGAGTCCAAGATGACTTGAAGATTGCATACCAGTCTCACATGGTACGTACAACCCCATCCAAGACTAGAGGGATGCTCTCCAGGGTTGGGGGGAGTAAACATCCACAGCCACTCAGTCCTATCAGGACTGAGCCTAAGGGTATTCCTCCCCATCCATACCTACACAGCTTTCAGGCACTGGAACAGTGCATCAACAGCAATACTTAGATGGCCCAGGGTTGAGATGTATAATTGGGTATCATCACCATATTGATGATACCAGACCCTAAATGAATGGATGACCTCATCCAGTGGTTTCATGTGAATGTTGAACAAAACAGAGGAAAGCAGTACCCCACAAGTGAGGAGCTATGGACTCAATCTCCCCACCGGTCCACACAGACTGGAACCAACCACAGGGAAAGGAGGAGAACCACCACAACAGAATGTTCCCCATTCCCAGTCCTTGCAGCAACCCAGCAGGATGCTGTGATCAATGGTAGTGAAAACTGCTGAGAGGTCAAGGAACACAAGGATGGATACAACACTGTATCTTGGCTCTGCCGAAGGTCACTAATGCTATCTCTACTATATCCTGGCCTGAAATCGGACTGGAATGGCTCCAAATAAGCTGCTTCCTCTAGGGTCCTCTGGAGCTGTTGCTCCAACCTTCTCAAAAACTGGACAGAAACTGTCCAGGATCATTGCATCCAACGATGGCTTCTTGAGGGGGATGCTACTGCCTGCTTCAGAGGCGAGGCTTCTATGACAACACTGCAAGAGGTGGAAAAAGGAAAGAGGAACAAAAGTCAGGAAAGGAAAGGAAGCTCCAGTTTCTCTAAGGGAAAAATTGAAAGAAGGATAAGCAGGAGGTCATGGTATAGCACTAAAAGATGCTGAGGGTCTGTTGAGCTTTTGGGCCTAATATGTTACCAAGACACGTACCTCAGACTGAGCAGGGACGGTGAACTGGGGAGGCATGTTGATGTCTGGCACCTTGCACTCTGTGTTGAAGGTGACTGGGTAATGCAGCGGATTTTCAACTTTGACGGAGGAGGAGGTGTTTTGCCGGACAGCCGTGGCCAGTTCAAGGGTGCTTAGTGGGCCGCATGGGATGGCCTTAAATGTGATCAGGTAGAATAAGAATTCCTGGGTGGCTTCGTTGCGGAAGGTTACCTGAAATCACAGGAGATTTTTAAGAACTATCCAGTCAAGCAGTCTTGCAAGGCCATGCAAGACAGTACAAGATGAAGGTGAAAGACCTTTCTCAAGCTACCCTGAAAAGACCAGCCTTCCCTCCCTGCCTCTGCTTTTGAGAGGTGTTTGAATGGAAGGCAGGGGAGTGTCACTGAAACAATTCAGACTGCAGGAAAAAAAGGAAGTGTAAAAGGCAGGATATTCCTTCTCAGCTGATGCATATTCTTGGTGAAAAGCAAGGACCAAATAATTGTCACTGGAAAATTGTATTTAAGTTTCTAAATGAAATTGTACCAAAAGTTCAGCAAGAAAAGCAAACAGCTGCTCCTTGTACAAGACGCCTGGGATAAAAAAAAAAGCCTAAGAAACAGTCGGGGTCGCAGACACAAGTGAGGGTATTTACCTTGGCACTGTACATGCCTTCTTTGTAAGAGAAGAAGGTGAGCTTGTGGTCCTTCTTGGCAGAAGCAGGCACTTCAATATAGTCCAGAGTTTTCAGGGTGGTTGTGACTTCCAGCTTCTCTGGCTTTAGCATGTCAACTGTTACCCGGAACCTAGCAAGAAGAGGCAGCCATCGAATTCCCAGACCCACAGCCCAAGACCAGCCGCAACCAGTTTCTTCACATCATACTCTTTTCACACCTTTGCTTTTTCCACTAAATAAAAACAACCAGATACCTTTCTCCTATCAGATTGCCAACTTGTCAGTTTTCAGATGGAATGGTAGATCTAGTTCTCTAATTTATTCCCTATCTTTCCACTAAAAATGGTGCTCAAGGCAATTAACAACAGTAACAAGAAAGAAAAAGCAGAATTACTGTAACACAGATCAATTAAAACAATTAGAAACATAATTAAGATAATATCACAACTCCTGAATCAAAACGTTCAGGCTCAGATTGTAATCGTAGACCCTAAAAGCCTGAATGTTCACGAGAAGCATAATTTTCATCCTGCATACAGGTTGACTCCTTGTTCCTTGAACTGCTTTGAACTACCCAGGAATACAAGTACAGGTAATTCTTGTTTAACGACCACTCATTCAGCAACCATTCAAAGTTACAATGGCACTGAATGAGTGGTACTTATGACCAGTCCTCGAAGTTCTGGTTGTCCCAGCACCCTTGCGGTCACATGATCATGATTTGGGCACTTGGCAACCGGCTTGCACTTATGACAGTTGCAGCTTCCTGTGGTCACATGATTGCCATTTATTTGTGACATTCCCTGCCAGCTTCCCACAAGCAAAGTCAATGGGGAAGCCAGCAGGGAAGGTCACAAGTTTCTCCAGTAAGTCTCCCCCCACCCAGCAGCAGCCACCTCTGGCCCTGCCGCACTCATGCCACGTCTGCGGGCCACCCACACCCCCTCCCCTGATGGGTGGATTCCTTCACTCTCTCAAACCACCTATCTTCTCTGTCCAAAATGTGAACATTATTGTCCTCAAATTAATGTCCTTTTTCCTTTAGATGAAGGTAAACTGCTGATTCTGGTCCTGTGTTGTTGCTCCTCC